ATTACTGCAAACAGAGCACGGCCTTGAAATTTAAGCTGTTTATTGTGTTGGTTTCTGCTCTTATTCAGTTCAAAACCTTAATCCCATTGTTATTTCTGAGTACTATAGTATGTGCCACAGTTTGCAACCAGCAACGCTCATGAAAAGCTTTTTGCAACTAATTTTTCCAGATCATCCTTTCCAGACAGTTCAGTAAAGATTGTCTGATGAATGAACAAAAAAGGGATCAAGTCCTTCCCCCTGCTCCTCCCATGATCTTTTTAAATATCTTTTTACTGGTGTGGAAAAGTCTTGATTCAGCTGCTGCCAAAAGTATGTTGTGGGATCATTTGATCGCTGTGAGCTGCCCAGAATCATACAAGTTTGGGGGAGTGTTTGATAATTTGTTGTTTTTCATTTTTTATTTGTGTGCATGTGCAAGTTTGTGATTAGATTTACAGCTTGACAAAGTCTTCATCATGTTCATTACTTGATCACTGTCATTTTTATAAATTAAAGAAGTCTCACTTGTTGAAAAATACTTTCAGCTGTAATTAGCTATATATATTATTAGTGAAAGTTTAAGTTTACAATAATAGCAATATGGAAACTTCCATGATGGAGGAACTCAACTTGTAAAAAAAGTGATTTATGAAATTCATTCATGGAGAACCCCCCCCCCAAATATTTAATTGTTGTGACAGTTGCCAGTTTACATGGTGACCTGGAGGATGTTCCCTGTTTTAGACTGTTTCTGAATTTACATCTGTTACACATAGGTTTCTAGAAAAAAATGTCATCAGACTGTTGGATGACTAAAACCAGGCATATCCAACTCAAATAAAACTACCAGCTACAATATTCCACATACTAGGATATTATCTTGTACTTGACAGGAAAAATGATTCATAGTCCATAATTAACATCTTTTTAATGCATATCAAGTATTACACATGTTAAAACACAACATTTAACAACAAGATTCTGGCATCAAGATAGCTCTAAAGTGATACAGGAAGTTTGAATTTTACAATATATTAGACAGTGGTTTTAAGTAACTTCTCCTTATAAAATAATAGATATCACAGGCACAACATATGAGAAATCTATCCTGCTAAAGTTTGAAAAATAAGGAGGTAGGGTTCTTTCCCAAATTTCAATGAGATAAAAGCAGGATGTGCTTCTGACAGATTGTGCCCCATGTCAGTATATTACTTATAAAAGTAGAACCTTAAAATAAAAGTATCATTTATTTATTTTTTTACAAAATTACAAAAAGTAAATTATTACAAATCCTAATTTAATAGTTCCCTCCCACTTCCTTTAACAATTTCAGGCTTAATTTACCCCCACCCCCACCCCCAAAACCCTATAAGCAAAAAGGAATTGGCGTTTTATTCTTTACATATTCACACCACCAGACTTAGTTAAAAAAAAACTGTGTAAAGTAATTAACACAATTATAACATATAAAACATTTCTCAGAAACAGAGTTAGAAATATTGCACATAGAAGAACATGCAGAATTCCAACAAGTGGACTTATACACTTGTATATAAAGTATTAAAAGAAAAGAAAATGGCAGAAATAAGTGAACAGTAATTGCAAAAAGGACTGTGTTAAATATTAAGAATAAAGCTTTGAAATTAGCCTTAAATGTATTAGAATTAACCTAGGTATAGATCAAAGCATTTTGCAGGTATCTGGTTAAAAGAAAAAGATGTAACGTTTTTGACATTCCACCATAGCTCAGAGCTGTAAGCATTTATTTAAAAAAATGACACTATTTATGAAAACCTTTCTATTCTTTAATGGAGGGTAGGTATTTCAGATCAAGCAAGCAGTACACATTCAATGGAGAACAAAAATTAAACTTAAGATGTCAGAAGGATATCCAAAAGTGTGGAGAATTAAGACTCCCAAAGGTATTCTGTAACGCAAAGCTACCAAATCCGGCACTGACATGAAAGACAGTTCTATCTTTATGAAGATATGCTGGAGAATATATAAACGACAAAAAGTACAATATTTTCAATGTCAGAAGAATAGCAAAATAATATTTCCAAAAATTGGAAAGGAGGCCCTTGGTACCTCTTTATACTTTCTCTTGCTTTGTAGAGGGTAGATTAAAAAAACATGCAAAATGGTCAAAGTTATGGAATAGATTGTGCAGAATGGAAGTGTACCAAATTAGGTAAATTGCTGAATTGGGCATCTGCTGTAGCAGATTATTTTTTATTTATTTGTTATGCAGAGATCACACATTTGACCATGTTTCCAGGTCAGGCAACATGGCTTCCTTCACAACTCTGTTCTGGACAGCTGGTGGCGGGCCAGATTTCTCGTTTTCCTAATCCGGTTATGGATCGTGCCACCTTCCTTTCCTTTCCATTTACCACAGGCTCTGCACATTACTTACAGGCTCAAAGAGGGGCCTCGCTGTGTGTGAGCTAAAATCTGCAAGACTGAGGACACAGCATCGTGATCCATACCCTTCCCTTCTGTATCCATGGACAGACACATGTACAAAAGGGGCAGGGCTTTGTCTGTGACACAGCACCCACCATTCACAGATTTCACCCCCCCCACACCAGATACCGCTGCTTTAAAAACATGCCAACAAATCAAATTCATTGTATAGATGAAATAATGGGCATAATTTGTTCATAATATGAAAATATGAATTGGGACTTATGTACAATACATCTCTTATTAAGGCTATTGGGTAGCTGAATAAATGCACACCAGAAAATGACTGCCACAGGAAAAAAAAAAATGCATATTTTAAAATGTGTAGTACAGGCAGTCCTCGTTTAGCAACCACAATTGAGACCAGCAGCTTGGTTGTTAAGTGAAGTGGTCACTAAATGAAACTGTGACCGTGCTTACAATCTTACTTCAGCTTTCCTTTGCTTTACAGACCTGCAAAGGTTGTAAAGTTACTTTTTCATCACCGTCATAACTGCAAACAGACAGTAAGCAAGGACTCCCTTTAGTATTCATCCTAGAAGAAGCTTATTCTCTCACACATATGAAAGGATTGTTCTAATATAAAGCTCCCCATCTTTAGCATTCATAAATATTTTAAGTCCTAATTTTTCACATTTATTTCTTTGTATGTTTGTATATAGTGAAGTCACATGACTAGAATTTTTATCTTGTGTGTAAAAATACTTTGCTGCTTATTTATTTTGTCAACTTAAAATGCAGGATGGAAATCACTGGGCATTGACAGAAAACAGGTTTCTTTAGGTCAAAACACTCTTTACATCAAAGCTACATATAATCTGTTAAAATATATTCCTGAGACTTCTGTCATCCCAATCCTACATATACTTGCTTGGAATTAAGTCATTTTATTTACTCTGATATCAAACTAATCGATATCTTAAATATTAGAGTAATCAGAAAATAAATGTCTACTGGCTGATTATGCATGCAGTCAAGGAATCTAGACAGAATTATGCTGAGAGAGTCAATATTCTTGTATAATTGAAGACAAGAGCAAATTTTCTACTTATTTGAATGGGACCAAATAAATGCAGCAGAGAATGAAATCTCACATACAGAAGTTTACAATTGCGATGTCTCTATTGCAAAGGCAGAGGCAAGATACAGCCCTCTGGGACACTCCACTTTAGAAGTTATACGGAAATGAATGGTATTATGCCAAGATCGGGGGGACTTGGCTGCTTCTATTTTTTTCAGTTGGATCTGCATGAGAAAAAAATTCTATGTCTAGTTAATAACTTATAGAGTGATTCTTCTACCATTTACTGTATATGAAACATTTTCACGCCAGTGTTGGAAAATAACTATGATAAGTACATTATAAATGCAACCATATCACACACAATCAATTTCTGCCATGCCAGCAAATTAGAAGTTAAAAATAGTTCTCCATGTCCTTATCAAGCAGGCTAATGACTAAATCAAAATTGCGACTATCAGATTCTTTACAGACTACTTTGAGCAACTGGTTAAGATATGACTTAATTTTGCCTAATACTTATCTGGTTCCCATTTCAGTAGGACACACCAACAAATCCAGGTGGTTGAGATCTGTATGCAGACTATGCCTCTTCACAATATACATTCTTTGGATAGGAGGCTGGCCAATTTGTTGAGAAGAAGATATTTGCACTATATAACAGATCAACAAAAGATTATCGCTTTATCCTAGACAAAGTGATGTTTCCGATACATCAAAAAGCTGTACAATATAACTTACAAACATCATCAGATAATGCCAAGCTGAGTCCTAAGGACAGACTGTTGGCTTCCCTTCACTAAATTGAAGATTCTTTTTCAGGGACAAATAATAGAAAATCCAGAACAAGGGTACTATCACACTTGCTGTCCATCACAGCACTTTTATGCACAGGACATCCATTCTATTGTGCTTCATAAGTCTAATTCTTAAGTTCATTTTTAAATAGTGTTCAAGATGAAAAAGACAGAAGCTTTAACACACTTTCTAAGTAATGTATTATATAAACCAGGCCAGGCTGCACGATACCACGGTCTTCCATGTAACTTTTTCTTAAAAAAAGAAAAGAAAAGAAATCCAAATACGAAAAACAAAGAAAGACTAAAAATGCTTAATTCTTTGTTCACTATTCATTTTTTCTTCTTAGAAGTCATGGAGGAAAATAGCACAACTTAACAGAGAAAATAAAAGAATGGAAAATATTTAGCATCCCTTCCCCTGCCTCTGGTGACTATTTTACTTTTTTTTTTTTTTTTTTAAAGTCCAGGATTTCTCTGTATAAGGGTAGCTTACATGGAAGTCAGTATAAAATGTTCTGTGGTCCTAATACCTTTTTACAGAAAGAAGAAGAGTTAGGAATCACACGTATCTATGATGGAATTCTCATTGCAAGCTTGCACAGATTCCAATAAAAATTATGCATTTTTCAAATCCCACTAATTTCATTAAGGCTGCAATAATAAATTAAGAATTAGTAAAGCTCAATGGGATTTACCTCTCAGCAAACAGACTGCACTGTGAAACAGTGTGAAACAGTTCACACTGTTGAGTTGTGAACTGAAATCAATAAGGGTTTTTTTTTTTCAAATTCTTCACTATGATTAGCTCATCCTTTAAATATCCAAGTTGCCCTTTGATGAGCCTTCTGCAACAAACCAAAATAATCTTAATGACAAGACCCCTTCATCTTAAAAAGTTGCCTATCCTTTATTAATTTATTTTAATACTAGTTCAGTATAAAGGGTGGAACTCCTACTAACCCTGATCATCACTAATGCAGATGGAATTCAACAATACATGAAAGGCTACAGGTTCCTTAATTAGTTATATATGGAATCATTATATATGGACAAACCTGGTCCTAGACTGATGTACCATGGCACTACCCAATGCAAATGTAATCTTACTTATCTTGCAGCACAATCTTATGCTCATTTACAAATAAATTATACTGAGTTAGTAAGTTTCCAGCCTTATTAATAACAAAGCTATTATGCAGGACCATGACATTTATGCAGGCAGTACATATGCATAAAAGCTAGAGTAATTTTACTCAATTTTCCATATTGTCATTGATCTATGCACATTATAAGTTTGGGGTAAGAGTTAATAATGGGCCAGTCCTGGAAATTTCAGGGCTAACTTGTCTAACAAGCAGGTTTTTTAAAACTAATTTTACAGAATCATTTATAATTGTGCTTAAAGTTGCTCCGCTTGCAGATGTTCAGCATCTATACTATTCTGAAGCTGAAATTAGACAGGATAGACAGCTACGGTTATTCAGTAACCATTACAGGGAAGCTAGTCAAAAACTGTGGAACACAGGCATAAAGCTATCACAAACTGCCAGCTACTGCTTAATAATGTGAAATATTTCTGTTTAAATTTCTCTGGCCTCCTGCAGAGAGACCCCCTACTGTAGTGCTAAAGTGTCTTTCCCTGAAGCCCCACTGACAGAAATGGCAAAGAATGCTGATGAGAGAACATTTAACACATTTAATCCAGGAGTTCTAATCTGATACGAGGGAGCAAGTTGAGCAGAAGCAGAACAAAGCAAAGCAAAATAAGACATAACAAATGACAGAAAGATTATTTGTGGAAGAAAACATGGGCTACTTCTATCGTACATTCAATGTATACAACTTTACTCCAGTCATGATCCAACTGGGGATACTTGGCATTGCTTTATCAGGCAAATTCTGGACAGCCCCTTATTATTGCGCAACAGTGAAGCAGGAATTGTCTGAAAGGTCCTTAAGTGGTAACATTTATTCATTGTTGGCAGCCTGATTTTATTCTTCTTGTTTCCCAAACAGGTGGATATACACTAAGAACTACTAAGCATCCTACTTAAATAGTAGGCCAAAATTATTTAAATGAAGATAAATAATGGCTTATTTTTTGTTGTGAAGATGCCTTTCATCTTTCATGAGCTGCCAAGATTCAGTTCATCCAATCAGCACAGCCCATGCTTTAATATGGCTCTTGACAGTTTCCATGGGTAGCCCATGTCACCAAGAGCCAGGCCAAGGGAATATTAATGCATGCAACAGCCCTTTCCTTCTAGCCCATCAAGTACTGTAGCCTCATTCTATAAAACAACATCAAAAACGCAACTGAAGTTCCTGAAAGTAATCTAAAGAAATAGTTCACTTACTTATAGGAAAAATGACAAACCAAAAAGTGCTATTTCTGAATCATAATGATCAAATGATGGCCATCCAGGGGTGGGGGGATTAAAAATTCAAGATGGCAGTTGCAGCAGCTCAATTTAAGCCCCTTCCCTTTTTATGTGTCACAATGAATATACGAAAGGCCAGGAACTCAATTTGTAGTCGTGGCCTCCATCTTGACATTTTGCCCCTCCCCAAATGTATAAGGAGGATAAATGAAACTCCTCAAAATGGTGGAGTAGATCTAAATCAAGGTTTTTGCTGAAGCAAAAAAGCCACTGGCCATAACAGTTGTGTTATGCTTCAATACCCCACCACCCAAACCTTAATAATTGCATTGATTCTATACTGTAGTTCAACTTTCATTTCCTAAAGAAACTGTAGTATTAATAGACAATGGTTCTACTCCCTCATGAATACTCTGGTTACAGAGAAAACTCCATTTCCAAAAACATTCATATGGGCGATGACATTCTAGACAAGGGAGGGGGGAACTGGAGTACAGCACAGTGACAGGAGATATTTCTGTTGAAAGAGAACCTCACTAGCCATCATTTAGTAAATATAGGCAGACAATCTCTCAAATCACACTGATAAAAGCTGCCTTCAGCAATGTGTGACTTGTTTCAGATTTGTTGTACAGGAGACTTTGAAAAACCAATCAAAGAAGATGAAACAGCATTTGAAAAAAAGTCGGACAAAAATTGTCCCTCTTTATACAGGGTGCACGAGCAGTACTGCAAGCACTGAGTTTTCCAGCTCATGCTAAACTTCAGAAGCTGGACATTCTGACATTTTGATCTGTTTTGTAATTTTTTTGGCCACTGAGACCATCAATAAGTCTCATAATTAAACAGTTATTAAAAAACAAAAGCAGAGCCTTTAAGTTGTAAACTAATCTGATGAGAAGCCTAATCTATAATAGAAAAAACATCATCTTTGTTTCATTGGCTTTCAAAGACTTTGAGAAGAGGGCCTTCCTTCTTTGTGTAGAGCTCACAAACCAAGAAATTTCTCAGGAAAGCATGTAAAAGTGTTCAGTAACAACCCATATTTACAAGACATAATCACTCCTTAACAACAGAAACAATTTCCGCTACTATGACTGCAATCCTACATCCACTTACCTTAACGTCTGTGTAGGAGCAGGATTAGGCTATAAGGCAATTATATTTAAATAATTTCAGATAATTTATAGCACCAATTGCCAAGAGCCCTTTAGTAGGAAGTCTGCATGTGTGCGTTTATGTGTTTGGAGTGGGAAGTAAAAGAATGGTATATTTAGATTTAGATCTTGTATTTAACCATAATTATTTTTAAATCCTAGTGTAATTTTATGCCTATTCCATTTTAAACAGAAGATGATTCACAGTGAGAGATCAACAATTTGTTCAGTCCTGACAACTATGTTGAAAATCTTTGTCATCACAGAAGCACGACTATGAATATGCCACAATGAAGAACAACGTGTTATTACAAAACAAGACAAATCTGGGATTATCAGAATTCTCATTAAACACCAGACAGTAAAAAAAGAAAAAGAGAGAAAGAAAGAAGCTTTTAGACATAAAGATTCCATCATTAATTCCTAAATGAGATGATATTGCTATTTTACTTTTGTTATAAGTAGTTTTAGTTGGCACAAATTTTTGCAGTTAGACAGCTTATTAAATAAAATATCACAGTTCATAAACTTGTTTCTTCCTAGCACGCATTCTTCTGAATATGTATTTTTTAAAAAATATTCTAATTCCATTCAAGTACAAGACTCCTCATAATAATCTAAATGATAAAATGCCATAATAGGAATTAAAAAAAACCTTTTTGTTTGTAAATTCAATCAAAAAGTCCAGGTGAATTTTTGAATGTGTACTGTAATCTTTAGTCTATATGGTTTCCAAAGAAACAGGTCAAACCCAGTACTATTTTCCATCCTCCTCTTCAACTTCCTTGTTTTATGTTTTCAAACAGAGACAATCACATCGAGATAAAGTCTGTCATAGGATTCCCTGAAGCATAAGATGAGCAGAAGGCTTAGTAAGCAGGATCCTGGGAGGCACCAGTTAAACCAAGAGAATTCTAGAGGGGGGAAAAGTAGTCTTAGTTATTTGTGTAACACTGTACTCACTTTAATAAAGCAGTAATTTTAAAACAGGCTCACAGTTTAGACTTGACAATACTTTTGGAGTGGGGAGGGGGGGGAATGCTTTTAGCCTCAAGGCTTTCTTCAGGTAAAAATAAAAAATCTCAAAATGAATACTTTCACCAGAAGGAGCTGGTCTCATCAAAAATGGGTACTGTGAGAAATCATGTCATTAGCGACTTCTGAAAGCAGAACTGGGAGAGTTTTCTATTAGCTATCATAATTGAAACACATAAAAGAAAATTAAGCGTACAAAACTGTCTCAAGAAAAACAAAATTGCAAATCAGGTCCCAAATTTAAAATAATAAATAAAAAAAAATTCTATAATTGAGCTAAGGGCAATGCAACAATGCAAAGTGAAGAAATACCCACTTGGTTCTCTATTTCTCTAAATCTCTCCACACACCATTAAATCTAAAAACCCTTCAACTATAATGGCTTAGGTTAATCCTGTATCCACAGGCTAAATATAAAACACAATATATTTTCTCTAAAACCTCCACATTAAAGAGGGGGTATGTAACAAAACCATTGCTACCGTAGACAATTATATATCTTAATGCATGACTAATAATTGTATTATTGCTTTTATTAAAAAAAAGTCCACTCAAGGAATATATAGCAATAAAACAAAATATGAAACAGAAAGCATAGCCATAAACATTAATACAGCTAAACTCAGAACCAAACTTTACACCAGGATCATTAAGTCTGGGATGCAATGGCAGAGAACTGGGGAGCTGCTGAAAAGCTACCAATGGTTTCTCCCAGCAGTTTCATGCAGAGGTTTAAACAACACTGACAACAAGAGAGAATACTCCTGGACACATTCTGACAGGAAGTAGCAAAACCACTACAAAACTCTGCCGCTAACAGCCCATCCCACCAGGTAGTCACAGCAATATCGTGGCTGAAGGTAATTATATCTGCTAAGCATCTGCTATGCTCTCAAACATACATCCAAATAAATTGTTCAAATTTTTTTTCATTACCACGAGATACAATTAAGATACACACATCTCTAAAATACACCAAATAATCATTGCCACAGTAAAGACAGCCTAGTGGAAGCTCATGATGAGATTTTCCAAACTCTTTATTCCTTTAAAGTTAACAAAAGAATGAACGACTTTCCTGCTCTTATTTGAGCCAATAAATAATTTGAATGCAAGAGAGCCATCTTTTTTCTCATTCCAACAACAAAACCAATGAGACTTAAGAGCTCCAATCTTCACAGGATTCATAAAAACCTTTTAAAACTTATTATTAAAAACTTGCTAATGGGAAGTTTGGATATCTGGAATTTAACAGACGTAATTTGTTGAAGAATACACACAAACATGAATATACTTTGGCCTTTCTTTATCAAACTGTTTTGCATATATGCATGAAGCTAACAAAAACACAAGTTGTGAAGCACTTATTGCTATATTGGGAAACTGATTAAACAAACAGTTTGCAGGAAAGAAATGATTGCACTGTTTCTTCCCTTTGCAGTATAGGGAATCAGATCAAACCCTGAAGCATGAGACTGGATTAGTTTTATCAGAGGTTTAGCTTGCCAGCTACAAATGTGATTCATGGCCATAATATTCCACTGGTCTTTGTTAAAATACATACATATAAAATAATCTCCACAATGTTTATTTTAAAGATACCCTGCTATTCCCATTTCAAAGGAATGCTTCTACAAAGATGTCGTTCTTTGACCCACACTTAGACAAACACTTAGATGGCCTAGTCTCAATATCATTAGCATTAACAGAAGAGTTGTACGCAGTCTATCTTCTTGGTGAATGAAACTCTGGATGAACTATATCACACTGGTAAATTTATATGAGCAAGCATTCAAAACACTTCTTACCTTTGTGGTAGAAACTAAAAAAAAATAAAAGAACTCCCATGAACATGTTGCTTAGGAAGGTGACCACACCGCAGGTAATCCCTTCAGGAACAGGGTAGACTGTTTCCACAAAAAGTTCAAAGAAGATAGGGACACTGCTGTTCAAGAAGACACCCAGCAAAATGCAGGAAGTATAAAGTGTGGCTGCAATGAAAGCAAAATTCAGTGATTCTGCGCAACACTACTGCTGCAGTCAGTTTTATAACAATAATAAAATGATTTGCATCTTTTTGATCAGATTTTTATAACTTTAAATATGACACATAAATGGGGCTTTCACATAATGAGTTTTAGTAGGATAAGAAGAGAGAAGACTAGTTTACCAACCATAATTGTACCCACCGACATATGCAGATTTCCTGTTAGCAGTGACACAATAATAACCAGGTTTTGGTACATCTGAGCCAGTATGCCACAAATGCAATCTAAGCCTAGTTTTACACCAAGCATGTATGCACTATTCTATGCAAGTCAAGGAACTCTAATTTTGAGATTACCTTGCAAGCCAACATACAATTTTCTCTATCATAAGGGACATATTGACACAGGAAAAACAAGTATAGAATCAAGAATAAATAGGTGCTAAACAAATGCAGACTGAAAACAAATGTGTGTGACCAGTGCAAAAGCAATAAATATATGTGATTTGATCATACAGTCATATGAAAAAGAAAGTACACCCTCTTTGAGTTCTATGGTTTTAGGTAT